ATATAAATATAAAAAGCACTCCAGATGTTGCTGCTGCCTCTCAAACAAAGACATGATGGCTGTAAATAAGCACCTCTCAATTGTAGCCGGGTACCTAAAATGGGAAACATATGCTGGTGCTCGATAACCAGTTACTAGCTGGTAACACGGCCTCTGCTTTGCAGTTGTGCGTCCCCACACCACGATCTCGCTGCCGACTTGCACTTGCCGTCCGTTGGCCCCAGGATCCGTCCATCAAATCGCCTGACACTTGGGATGAGCTTAGGCTGACTGAGAGGGCGGCGTGCGTCCTTCCCAGTACTTCTGATATGCTGCTTGGAACATGTCCTTACACCGCAGCTTTGCATCCAGCCGAGAGCAGATGAGAAATGAGCCTCCCATCTTACGGTGGAGTGAGTACGTCTCCTCAGGAGGTGGAGTGAGTCGGTGTTTGAGCATCACAGGGATGAGGTTGTGGATTCTCTCTGTGGTGGACTGGGAGCCAAATTCAAATTCCTCTGTGGAGGCAAAGGCCTCGCCGAGGATCATCACCGCGTCCACATGGGCATTTATCATTGCCTGGATACAGGGAGAGAAAAACACATTGCATGTTTCGTCTCAGCCAATGACCAGTCTACACAGTCAAATAGGTCTGGTTTAAAAAAGGAGTAAAGGAGAATATTTTCACTGCTTTACTTCGCTGAATTAACTTAATCAGTTCCCTATTTATGCTCTCGTCAAAGCCACCAGACTCCATTGAGAAAAACAGCAATTTTAGCTTGCTGAATACAGGAGCTGCTGGTCTACCGCTGCCTCAAACACTTAGTTTGTTTGTGTTATTATGTGACTTTTGGGGAGTCTGAACTAACCATTTTAAACACATAAGTCACGCAATAACACAAAAAAAACTAACTAACTGAGGCAGCTGTAGACCAGCAGCTCCTGTGTTCAGCAAGCTAAAATTACTCTTTTTCTCAATGGAGTCTGGCGACAAAATTGTTTCAGTTCCTCTTTAGAAATCGCTGTCGCAGCAAGGTAAAGCAGTGAAAATATTCTCAATATAACGTGTACTGTTACTTAATTTTATAGGTAGGACTTTTTTAGATGGTTAAAATATATTTTGTTGCTGCCCCCATCCACAGCAGTGTATTGCTTAGCTTCCATGGCAGTACTGGGGGTGTGCTGACCAACATCTACTAATACACTGACTATGGATAAGTACCTCATGCAACCCACTTCAATTGGTGAAACTATTCTTTCATGACAGATGAAACAATCTCCAAATCCACATCTCTCGTTGGATGCTTATGTCAGTTTCACTACAACCACTGATGTTTTTGTTTTCAGTTTCTGTCACCACTACGTCCTGTTTCTCTTGGTACAGCTGTACCAATGCCAACATTTACAGCCATTGTATGTGTGGAGTACACAGACAAATAAAGAGATATTTACCTTGGACTCATACCCAGTCAGGAACTTCATCTCGATAGATTTTTTCAGCACTCCCTCTCTGTCTCCTTCGGCAGCTGAATGGATTATCTACAATCACAAACAGGTGATGACTGTTACCACCATCACTTCAATGTCTCTGTCTCCATCTCTCAGGCATGTTTCAATATCTCATGCATGGCAAAAAAATCTTATAACTGAGGTGTGTTTCAATTTTTCAAGCATTCACTTACAAATAAACCACAGTAAGTACACTCTTCCACTGTTTTTGGCAGTGTGCTCAAATAAAAGAGTTCTGGGAAGCAGTGAGACAGAATCCATCATATTATCCATAAAAATACCTCTAGACTCAAAGCTTTTTATACTTGGTTTATATCCAGCCAATCACAACAGTAGAAGGAGAAAACATATTTTTTTAATGAAATGGGCCTGTTATTGTCTGAAAGAGTTATTACTCTTTCTTGGAAGAAAGTCAGTAGGCCGGGTATGGGGAAATGGATTTCTGAACTATTGACAACTCTGCCCCTGGAAAAAATTATATAAGCTATCAGGGGTAATCAATCACTCATTTCTACAACATCTGGGGTCCGTTCATGATGGAAGCACCAGAGGATATGCTGTAAGTGAACCTCTGCAATGTCCAAATCTGTCAAAGTTTTTTCTTTAATTGTTATCAAAATTTGTACGTTACTGTAATGTGTACTTAAACTGAGGTGTATTGTATTGCACTAACATGATCCTCAACCTGTAATTTATGACT